GGGGGGGGGGGGGGGGGGGGGGGGGGGGAGAGGGCACCTCCCTGAAATGAGAGGGACACCTCCCTGAAATTGCTTCTTTCAGGTCATACCCATACTCCTTTGACAGATACTGGAGTTGGTCACGGGAGGTGTGTACATACCTTCACATTTGGTGGAGCTGTGATGGAATATGACCCTTTTGGTTGAAAGTTGAGGAGCTCTATTGTGCTGTCCAATCCATGTCTCCAATACTTTCACCTAAAATTGCTTTTGTCCCTCCTCCAGGGTTCTTATCCTATGTTTTTATCTAATTGCTGCACGAGTCTCTGTTACCAGGTGTTGGAAATCTCCAGAGACCCCCTCCTTTGCAACATGGGTGGCTGTTATGAATGGAGGGCCTTTAAGCTGAAGTCAAAAGATGGATGGAACTTCATGGGAAAGTCTGGTCCAGTTGGGTGATATTTAGCTTCTTGGATAATTATAGGCACATGCTAATCTAAGGTTCCAACCTTTCCCTCTTTGAGTGATTTCCCTAACTGTGTCCCTTCTCTGTGATCTGTCTTTTCTTGGACTACTCTTGTCTTTCTTCTCTTCAACATTCATTCTCCTTCTCTCCCTCTATGCTTTCTCTGTTTTCTTCTTCTTTGGTCTTTGATCACTTTTTTCTCTTCTTTTTCTCACTTTTCTTATTTGACCCTGGGGCTAGCTTTTCTTTTGGTTTCTTAATTGTAACACTTCACAGTCTCCAAGCAGTTTATTATTACCCAGAATGCACATTACTATAGAAGCTAGAGTCTATGTATACTTTTATTCAGGTTTTCTATGCCTTTTATATACTTGCTACTTATGCTTGTGCACCAATTTTTCAAATTGTAATCTGATTACACTGTGTCCATTGCTCTAGTCCCTTTGTTCTGGAAACTTTTAATAGAATTTTGTTTGCCAAAAATCTATGCTAGTGTGAACAGGTCCTCATAGGCTTGTATTGAACGCAAAACACATAAAAATGCATTAAAAAATGGACATGCCTCATTTTTACAAACGCAGCACAACGTAGCGCACAGATGTGAGCAGGCCAATTGGTTTACATATGTTTTGATTACACATGCATTGATCTACGATGCGACGCACATGTGAAAACACCAAGGCATGAAGCAGGCCTGATGGATTTCAATATTAACAACAAACATAGTGAAATGAAAGGAGAAGCAATTTCCTTGTAGGTTTGTGTTTGCAGTTTATTAGTAAACATTTTGGTTGCTTCATTTTCCCATTGCATGATATGAACCCCCAAAAATCTCTGGTTATATAGACCACTCTATTACAAAATCAGCTAGAGAACGTCCCTATACAGTGTTACTACAAAATAAAGTACTGCTTTAGTCATCTTCACCAACAATGCTATTTTAGTATCTACATAGTGTTAGCTCATTTACATACGCTTTAAATACTTTTATTAACAAAGGCACCGTACTGGGTAGTGGGAAGGGAGTCTCAGACATCAGTAAATACCTGTTAGAGGTTATAACTTTTTCCAAAACATAAAAAAAACACAATTTGTGTCTTGGGGTGTCACTTTAAAAACCTACTTTTCTATAGGAACAAAATGTATTTCCACTTTTGCAGCCAATTGTGATAACACCTATTTTATATTTGTTACGTCTCCCATTCACAGAGCATAATTTACAAATCATCTAAAAACTGCTCTTTACATTTTATTTGTTCTTTCCTGAAATAATTTTCTTTATCTAAACTGAATTTTCCTCTTGAATGCAAGGTGGTGAGTGTCAATCTTGACCCTAATTAACTCTGTCTGTACTCTGCTGGCAGATCTCATTATCTCAGATCTCAAAACCTGCTCAAACCTGAGTTGCGCTGAACATAGAAGGAGCTCCTCCAAACCCAAAAGAAAAGCTCCTTCTGCTGCCACCCAATCAGCTGAGACTGCAAAGAGGTGGGATGCAGTGAAGTCATTGATCTTATATGCAGGGCCGGTGCTAGGATTCTTGCCTAGGCAGGCAAAGTTGCAATTTTGCGCACCCCCCCCTCCCCGACCCCCTGTAGCGCTGGGCCTGCTATCTATCAGCATGTTTTTTTTCTTCACTTACCTTCGGTGCGGGAGAGCAGCAGCGAGTCAGCGCTGGTTCTTATATTGCTACATGGTCATATAAGGTAAATAACATCGGCACAAGCATCCTGCCCCTTCATGTTCAGTTGCAAGGTGGGGAATGCCTCAACCCACAGCTGATTGGGCTGGAGGCCCATGTGGCTCGCATGTTCCATGTTCAGACCGGCTCTGGTCCAAACCTGAGCGCATCCCTAATTATCAAAACTAGTAAACTAGTTTTGAACAGTGTCACGCCTAACAAAGAGTTAAAGATCTAAAAGCATTGTATGATAATGAGGGGAAGCTCAGTCTGTCCCTGGTCTTTCTATAAGGACAGACAGAGTTTCCTGTCCCTTCAAAATTGTACCAAGATGCTCCAAAGGCCACTAAACAGACACATCTAAAAAGGTAAGAAACATTTTTCGGTATGCTGTGTGAATAGGACCACACAACAAACTTATAGTGGGGCTTTTCTCAAAAATGTCTGCAAAAGTTGAACTACACTTTAAAATGTCTTCATTCTGATTGGTTGTTGTGGTTTGTGGTCTCCTGTGTGCTTTACTGTATAAGCCTGTTAGACCGCCCTCAGATTGGTGGTCCGACCAGGTCCGCCTGCCCGTTTTTCAGGTGGATCTTATTGCAAGTTCAATGTTAGTCAATGGGCAGCCGCATCTAAACAGGTCTACTTCCGTTTACATCGGATTATCCCTGACTCCATCCAGGTCCAGAAAACAAAATGGAACATGTCTACTTACATCCAACACCCCATAGACCTAACACTGGTCCGGTAAGTTCAGCTTTTTCCTCCATCGCAAGATAGAGGGAAAAAATTGGATGGATATGGATGTCACAAGGGTGACGTCTGTTCCGTACTGCTCCGATAAGCAGCAGAACAGTACATAGACATCCGTACTGGCAGTGCCTGTTTAAAAGAGGGGCCTAAGCTGTGCAATGAGCGGTCTGTACATCATATAATTTCTGATCTATACTTCACACTGCCACCTATACACCAAAATTCTGTGCAGAAAATAGAACTCTTCAATGTGTGAACTCTTCCCGTGTCTACACTAAGTGGCCAGTTTATTATGACCACCTGACCTTTGTAGACAAATTAGCTATAATTAGGCGCTGAAGTTGGTAGAGGGCCAGACCATTATAAATAGGGAAGCAGGTTGTTTACTATGACAGTAGAAGTGATTTGTATCTGAAGATATGGGTAAACAACGTGATTTAACAGCCTTTGAACGTGGGATGATTGTTGGTGCTCGGAGCCATGGAGCGAGTATCAGCAAAACAGCAGAATTCGTTAAATGTTCAAGAGGGGCTCATTGTTAAAGTGTTTAAAGACTGGACTGTCAGCCGAAAATCTGGGTCTGAACGTGCGAATTGTGGCCGTCAGCGACTAGTCAATGTTAGGGCAGAACGGAGAGTGCAGTGTCAGATTCCTCGCATCACCTTTCAACATCTTTGTGGAGTCATGAGGCGGCCCAATGAAGTACTGTTGGGGTGGTCATAATAATCTGGCCACTCAGTGCATGTTTTACAGGTAAGAGCAAACAAAATAATGTTTTCTTTTCATACGGTATATAAAAGGAGCTTTTCATTCCTGGGACTATCTGCAATGTATTCAGGAAAGTGATCCAGTTTGATGGTACTATGACCAGACACGTCTCAGATTAGATATAAAATTCTTCCTCCTCTGTGCCTGCAGTCTCTGCCCCGTGCTTGATGATCTCCATGGCATTTTGGCAATGGCTGCCATTGTCCTTCTTGAATTCTGTCAGGGAAGTAGAGCTGGAGATACTGGGGAACACCGAAGATATCAAAGAACAGGAAGACCTTTCAGAAACAGAATTAAAAGATTCATATGAAAGCTCACAGAGCTTATGTCTTGCCTCTGGCCCACCTTCTCCAGGCAGAGAAGGTTCCAGGTCGCTGGATAGGCCATCCAGAGGTGAGTAGGCCGACAAAACAGACAGGTCTGAGCTGGAGAGCTTCATTCCTGTGTCTACGTCAGTCTCTTGAGCCCCCTCCAGGTCGTCAATGTTGATCCGCGGGCTGCTTCGCCACGCCGGCATCTGATACATTTGGGGTTCGTTTCTGTAAAACTGAGGGGGTTCGCTGAAGGGAAAGGATTCACATGAGGGGAATGAGCTCAGCGTTGGCAAACACACCAGTGACTTGCTGCGCTGGAACCATTGCGCCGTGCTGCTGCTAGGCTTAGGACAAGGCGGCCCCACATGGGTTTTAGAGAAGTCTTGGTTCAAGCCATTGAGGCCTGGAACACGACCGTTGCTTAGGTGGGCCTTGGACATCTCAGATTTCTGTTTTTGACAGGAAGGAATCACGTTGAATGGTGTCCCGTTGACATTTCTAGACAAGTAGCTTTGATGTTTCCACACAGATTTCCTGGTTAAACGGTGAACCTGCTACAAGAGGAGATAGAATGGGCTGTAAATTTGGTCATAAAGTACAAATTCAATCAAGTTCATTATAATCAAGCAACTTCATTAACAGATATGTAATAGGTTATGGTAAATGAAAGGCTGAATAACTGTAAGTCTTCTCTCAGAAGCCCGAGCTGTAAGGTTTACCCACGGCCATCCCTATAATGAGGCAGCTTGAGGAGGTTCTCTCAGGCCAGATTTCATTGGGTCACAATGGGGGGGATTGGCGGGCATTGGCAGGGTATGCCTGCCGCCCTCCTTCCGGCCAGAGTATCCCAAGTGGCTAAGAGCTCCTAGCAACCTGGGACGCTCTGGCTGGTGTCCTGCCCAGCTCCTGGCAACCAGTGACATCAGTGAGCTCGCCAGAACACCATGCACCACGAGACCTCCTCCAACCTCAGAATGCCCGTCCCGAATCCACCGCCCCAGAACGTGCATCAGGAGCAACAACCACCACCCTCCCCAGATGGCAAGACATCTAGATCAGTGGTTCTCAACCTGTGTAACCTCAAGACCCACATTTGTCCTTGGTCATTAAGTCATGACCCAAGTCACACTGCAATAGAAAGCACAGCATTGCAGTACCAGGTGTCCGGGTGCCGGTGATTGGACTGCGGGTGGGAAGTGCGTTTGGGGTGTCATTCAAATTAATGGCAACGCGCCTTCCACCAGAAAGCGCACTAGGTGCGATTGCATGGTACAGTGCATTAATCGCATGGGACTGTATACTAGTGTGAACGGACCCTCAAAAACACTGACAGACACACACAACCACAGACATTCTCACACACACATATAGTCACTCCAAAAAATGTATAATTTTTTAAAGATCCACCCAGTCTCCCTACCTTATGAGAACTGGAGTGGAACATCAGCCTGGGGTCCAGTGTGGGCTGCTGTGCATTGACAGAGCTCTATCCATATGTGCATGGCTTGTACAGCTCTCTTGCGTGCCTTGTAGAGGTGCTAGCAGCCAGAATGTGATGTCCGTCTAGTCCAGGCACCTCTACAGGGCACACGAAGGAGGTGTAAGCAATGCACGTAATTATGGAGCTCCCTCAAGGCCATACTTCCAACCCACCCCACCTCAAGCTGACAAACAGCGCCGGGCAGCATATTTGGAGTGGTTGCTTGGCATGAGAACTGACGGTGCTGCGCTGGGAGGTCCTACTGCCATGGTGACTGCACGAAATTGCCACCTCTTTATGGGCTTGTGGAAAGGATGAGGATGGCTCTGAAATGACCAAAATATTTCAGATCAGGGTTACTGCATGTCTGTCCAATAGCAGTGACTCAAAAGATATGGAAGCTAAAAGCAGCCAGGCACCTCACACAAGGAGGAACACAGTGGCGGCCCCTGTATTTCTCTATTTTGGACTGACAAATCTCAGCATGTGTTTCAAAGGCAGAGGCCTCAAATTAAGGTTTAACCTACAGAAACAATGGTAGCTTCTCAAATTTTATCATGAGGTTGTGTTATTTATCCACTTTTAGTACTTTATAGATTGATGTAACTGACAAAGATGAAGTGAATAGGCAGAGTTAGGTATATGTAGGCCCAAGAGGATGCATGACATGTGCCCAATATGTACATATAACATGACACCTGCTCCTTCTAGAGGCTGCAGCTAGATACAAATGGTCTCCACCCAAGAATAAAAATATATTATATTGCAGTTTTCTAAGTTCTTAGATATGGTGGCTGCATTAGTTGTTCTTTTTCAGTTTTTCTCACTTTATTTTGACTTGGTGATCCCGCCAGTAACACACTTAGGTTTAAAAAAAAAGTCAATTCACAGAGCCATTCACTCTGTGAAATTACATTTACATTTGTTCTGTGTGAATGGAGGCAAAAATGAATGTTATTAGCAGGGCTCAAAATTTCCACTCGCCAGCTCGCATTTGGCGAGTGGAAATAAAGAGAGGGCGAGTGGAAATTCAGTCAGGCACGCGGTCACGGATCGCGTACCTGACTATGAGAGCAGCAGATTCTTGCCGTCCTGTCCTGGCTCCGTTACTTTCGATCGATCACCGGAGCTCTGACAGTTCTGAGCCCCGTTCGCAAGGATGGATTAGTAAGGTCTGCAGACCTTACTGCAGAGAACGGAGCTCAGAACTGCAGAGCTCTATTAGTATATTTTTCTTCTAGATTAAATGTATAGCATGTAAATACCCCATTATGGCCACTAGATGGAGCTGAGGAGCATAGGTAATACATGCTTGTGTCAACTGCTCCTCCGCTCCATCTAGTGGACATAATGTGGCGTTTTGCTGATATTACATTCTACTAATAACTAATAACATTCAGTTTTGCCTCCATTGGCACAGAACAACATGTACATGCAATTTCACAGGGGAATAGCTCTGCAAATTGTTTATAAATACATCCCTTAGTGCCCTAGGGTGGCAATTCACTGTAATGTAACTTTGAAGGAGCAGGGTTGTCACCTTAGGACTGGAAGTGTACTGGGACTACAAAACATCCTACTTCACTCTTCCTCTCCATAACACAGAGGGATATATTTTGTAGTTCACAGAAGCGAGTGCGCAGGACTAGAGATGAGCCTGGACTTTGTATGAACTCAGCTTGAGCTTGGCCAAGCCTGCTCATAAATGTGACCAACACACACCCAATCCTGAGTAGCAGATGGATTAACTGTCCCCAAGAAATACATCACAAGGGAGTGTGGAATGTTTCCACCATAACTATCACTGCTGATTGGGCAGAGGTGTGTGTGTGTGTATATATATATATAGGGGTAACGATTTTGAGTGTGCTTGGGCAAACTCAGGTGAACTGGGTTCGCACCAAGCCCATACTCATCAATACACAGGGCTTAGGACAGCATTGGATTTTTGGCAGGATCAACAAGTATTTACTTTCCCCTTTCGAACACATATAACAAAATACGTTACTATATAAAATAAAATAGAAAGCAGATACAGTATTTATCCTACTCAGTGGCAGCTAGTGAGAAATAACATTAGGGGGCTGATGTGTAAAAAAAAAAAAGACACAGCGAGGCACATGTGCTCATTTTACCTCTAGCATCTAACCAGACATTCACTTTTTTTTCCAGCCGGCATTCTGTCGAGAACACCGACCCTTTCAGATTTGCCGACCACATGCGCACAGACCGGTATAAACGAGAAAACAGGCATTTACAGTATTTATAAAGTATTTTGTTTTAATCGTTAATTGTGGTGTTAATACTATACCATCCATGTTAGTAAATGATGGTTGGTATTTTAGTCACATTCACAATTAACATTGTAAGCAACTACATTATGTCTCGGTCACAATTAGCGATTGAAGTAAAATACTTTGTAAATAAATGCCTGTTTCCTCGTTAATCCTTGTCTGTGTGCATGAGGTGGGCAAATCCGACATGGTCGGCGTTCTCGCCAGAACACCGGTATCAGAAAAACCTCCATCTGGATCATTTTTGTTTTCTATAACAGACAGTTTTACTAACCCAATAATGTGAGTTGGCAGTGCACAGAATCTCCAGCAGGTGGTGCTATATAGTAATGTCAAAGAATATGCGACAACACAATGAAGTGGCTTTCAGATTTAGCAATGCAGGTTTATAGTCCTATGTGAGGCCACAACTGTATAAACCTGAAGGGCTAAAAAAAAAAACCCCAAAACAAAACATAAAGCAGTACTAGTTAGCTGGTGTCAGCACTGTCCATGCCTTCAACCCTAATAGTTGAGAATGCCCCCTGCCCATATCTGACAATGCCTGACAATTGACCAGCAGCCAAGGTATTGTTGGGTAAGAAATGTGACGCGTCATGTGCTTATAGGTGTTCATATTTTAACCAGAAAGGTGGTATATGCAGAGCCACTCTGAGAATGCTCTGGGTTGTGTTAGACCAGGAATAGGAAGCCTCAGCACTCCAGCAGCTTTGTGGAACTACAAGTCCCATGAGACATTGCAAGACTCTGACAGCCATAGGAATGACTCCCAAAGTCAGAAGCATGAAGGGATTTGTAGTTTCAGCACATCTGAAGGGCAGAGGTTGCCTACCCCTGCATTAGAGTAACACATGCTAGGGAAAAAGGTTAGGCTCTTAGTTAACCACTTCTTCTATTAGATCCATTTATTTTTTCCCGTAATGTACATTTTAGATACCAAATATTATACTTTCTCCTCTACAAAGGTGAGCTCTGTATTAGTCTGGTACTTAGTCACATGATCATTGGCAAGGCATTGGTCATGTGGCCTCTAGTGATGTAGAAAATCTTTGGTAATGGTGTCATAAAGCTGTTAGTTCAGATGCATGGATTGCCCAACTCTGCTCCAATATTATCCCTGTGCAGAGGGAACGGATCATGTGTCCAGGTAGAAGACCATTGAAGGATGCACCTTAGCAAAGGAACAAGTCTCATGTGTTAATAACTGCATGCAAGGTGAATATTTTTACAGATGCGGCTGCATCTTTTTTTTCTTTGACCAAAGGTCTAATTTAAAGCTGAACTGCAGGTATACATCTTTCTATATACTTATATTGGTCCAGCCTGGCCCACCTCTATCAGCCCCCGAGATGCAGAAAAATTCCAACATGCTGCATCTCTCTGCAGTTTCTCCAACTTACCCGCAGGTAGGCTTGAGACATACAAAAATCAAACTTGGTATCCCATGCCACCCTACGGATGTGCCCTACCCAGCCACTACATGGCATTGTGCATAAAGTTTGCATATGACCAATAAGAAACCAAGAATTACCAATAAGAAAATACCACGTACTAATGATGCTGAGGCTGCCAGAACTTACCTCACTTCCTTCAGTAACCTTTCCCTAAGAAAAGCCATAACTCCTATATCAAAAGATAATTATTCTCATTGTTGAGATTGTTGCGGAAGCTTATTTGTAGGGATGCACCCATACTGATACCAGTATCAGTAGAAGTGCCGATACCGAATATTTGGGCAAGTACTCATACCCGCCTCCCGATGCCTGAACTTCCGGTATCA